TATCTATGTGGTGGATTGGTTCTAGGAGCGCCCGACTCCTCCCCATCTGAGGATACCACAGTCTATTCATGTTCTACATGAAATAGCACAGTTGCCTAGGATATACTTTAAGTCAACTGTAGATAACTTGTAACATCTAACCCAATGCAATTGTTATATGAAGAGGTGTTCTGCTGGCTGCAATCCAGTTTGTATATGTGTGTGCATTTCATGATGTAAAGACCTAGCTACAGACTAAAACTACAAGCTGACATTCTGCATCAATCAACAACAACAGCTAAACAAACAGGCAAACAACAAATTAGCAAGCCTTTCATAGTGGCACATGCCTGTAATCTCAGCACTTGGGAGGCTGAGACAGGAAGCTTGCCATGAATTCTAGGCCATCCTGAACTATGCAGTGAGTTCCAGCCAGTCTAAACTGTTTCAAAAACAAACAAACAGAAAACACAACAACAACAACAAAAACATTATCAAAATCTCAATTCAGTAAACATTCAAAATTACTCTTAAAATGTAGCATATTGTAGCTGATGTGGGGGTATGCCTGTAATACCAACTGTCTGGAGACTGAGACAAGAGAATCATGAGTTTGAGCACAGTCTGGGCTACAGAGCAAGCCAATCTCAACAAATAAATAACATAAAATTTTTAAATGCCGTATTTGTTTTGTTTTGTTTTATTGAGACAGAGTGGTATGTGTCCCAGTCTAGATTCAAATTCACTATGCAGGATGATCTTGAACTCCTGATCCTCCAGCTCCTACTTCCCATGTGACTGGATAAGGAGCATGGGATAACATGCAAGCTTGGGATCATTGCTGGATATCGAGCCCGGGGGTTTTGTTCATTCATAGACAAGTACTCTACATCCCTTCTCATTGACTACCAAAACCCATACTAAACCAAACCAAACCAACAACAAAAACAGAACTATTTGTTATTGTGTGGGGGTGGTATATGGTACGTGTGTATTCCATACTTCATTTTTACCTATCTTAGTTTGTGAATGTGTGTATATGTGTGTGCACATATGCCATAGTGTGGGTGTGGAGGTCAAAGGACAAACCTGCAGAAGCTAGTTCTCTCCTACTAATTGGGGCTGGAGAATCTAACTCAGGCCACCAGGCTTTGCTGCAAGGCCCCTTACTGGCTAGGCAGCGCCATATCTAGAACAGCTATTTTCTGAGTGATGGAACCATGAGAACCTTTTCCTACATTTCTGTAGGAAAGAAAAACAAGTATGGGATTAGGAGTGCTGTAACTAATAAAGTTCAGTCTCTTTTACTTAGGCCTGCGTTGCTTTCTCAAAGGAAGCCAGTCTGAGGCAGCACCTACTGCTCCATTGCCCGTCCTGAGATTCATGGTGGCCAACAGTGTTTACTGATGACAGCCGGAAGGTACAGGGGGAGTGTAGATTTTCTCCTGTCATCCGCACACAAGTGCTACGTGGTCTGATTACCTTCCTTTCACTCACTCATCCTGAAACACAAAGGTTGAGTACTAGCTTCGTCCACACAACTGAAATCCAAACCCAAGTCATCTGGATGGAGGGAGGGGTGCCTTTACACAAGGTCGAATGAGTTAGGCATTCCTAGCACCTGGGAACTATATTCATTCCCAGACTTTTGGAAATGAGTTGACCACCCCAGCCAGGCGACTTCACCTGTTTCACAAACATCAGCATGGCAGAGTATGTCATCAGTCAGCCAGACTTCCTCCTTGGTGTCGGGAGAAGCACCCTAGGAAACTTAAACTCAATTGGAACCTGCTTTGTGCTTTTGAGTCAGCTTTTCAAAGGGAGCTTTTTGATCCATATATATGTGCACGCTAAATAAAATCACCAGGACTATTTTTAGCTTAATGCTGGATATAAAATGGTTGGCAAGTATTAACTACCTACTAACCAAAATAAAATGTAACAGAGAGCTGTCAGGGAAAAAAAAATAATAAAACCAGCACAACAGAGTAGATCAAAGGACCCTCTCTATGGATCCTTCACTGGGAACCATGGAGGTCTTCTGCCATAATCAGCTACAGAAATGGAGGCAACTATCCAGTGAGGTGGTGATGCCACTTGAACCACTTTTCTGCTTCAATACCAATCACATGTGCATGCTTCTCCATTTCAGAGTGCATAAGAATACATCATTTTTAATCAGACTTCCAACTTACCTGTAAAGGAAGGAACAAAAGCAGTCAACAAGGGTAGTGAGGGTGAGAGTCAGGCAGGGCTTAGGAGTAGCTCTGTGGCCAGTATGTTTTGGGCACGTGGGAGGCCCTAGTTTCAATACCCAGCACACACACACACACACACACACACACACACACACACACACACACCTAATACACACACAAATACATGAGAACATAATTAAATGCTCGCTCATATAGCCGGCTAGACAACTAGTACACAGCTCACAAAGCAAGATTTGTCAGCTCTGAAACATCATGTAATCCTGTAAGTATAAGAAACAACATCTAGGGTTGGGGATTTAGCTCAGTGGTAGAACACTTGCCTAGCAAGCGCAAGGCCCTGGGTTCGGTCCTCAGCTCTGAAAAAAGAAAAAAAGGAACAACATCTAGTTCAACTTCAGCATTCCAAGAGCACTGGTACCATAGTTTATCTCATGCCTGCTAAGAGGAAGGGGCAGACAAAGTAACTCAGAAACCTGATGAAGAAGTTGGTCTTAGCTAAGTTCTCCAGGAAGTAAGGTAGGATGACATTGAGGTGACAACATTCTCCTTTCCTTGTTTAGTAAAACCAACAAACAACTGATCTGATTTTTGGAGGGTGCTGTGAGTGAATCCCAGGGAGTTTTGGATGCTGAGTTTCTACATCTTCTTCTACTGAGCCATTCTCTCAGCCTCCTGACTAATTTCTAGGTTAGAACACCTTCGTGTGTGTTTTGTTTGTTTGTTTTAATTTATATATACATGTGTATAAGGCATGTGCACAGGTGTCCTTACAGGCCAGAAGAGGGTATCAGATCCCATAGGGTTGGAGTTACAGTTACAAGACATCTGGAGTTACAAGACAGTTGTGAGCCTTCTGATACGGGTGCTAGAAACCAAACCCTGGTCTCCTGGAAAAGCAAGCACACACTCTTAACTGCCAAGCCATCTCTTTTGTGCTCAGCCTAGTTGTAAGAAAGAAACTTTGGTAGTGAAATGTACAGGTGTACTCCTTAGAGCATGCACAATTTATTTCAGAACTGTGTTTCAGGGCTGCAGAGATGGCTCAGTAGTGAAGAGCATTAGTTGCTCTTGCAGAGACATAGGTTTGGACCAGCCCCTAAATGGTGGCTCACAACTACCTGTGACTTCAGTACCAGGGGATCTGATGCCCTCCTCTTACCTCTGATGGCGCCAGGCATGCATGTGGTATAGAGGTATACATGGAGGCAAAACATTCATACACATAAAATTTTAAAAAATATTTAAAAAGTGTAATATGTGATTAAACCTACAAAAATTAAACATAATAGGATAATGAAAAACAAGCTATGATTAAATCCTTTAAAAATTGGTAAATAAGCCTGGGTGGTGACATACACCTTTAATCTCAGCACTCAAAGAGCAGAACCAGGTGGGTCTTTGCAACTTGCTTGTTCCCAAGATAGCTGATGCTACATCATGAGACCCTACCTCAAAGAGCAAGCAAACAAAAAGTTGTAAATAAACCAAGTGTGGGGTTTACTGTAGAGACAGGAGGATCAAGGAGCTCGAGGTTATTCTTGGGTACACTTGGAGCCAGCCTGGGCTACAGGAGATCCTGTCTGGAAAAAAAAAAAAAAACTTATAAAAAAAAAAAGGAATTTATAAATAAAAAAGATTGAAAAGTTTTTACTTTTCTGTCAGTAACACAAGCCCCTTAACTTCTGACACAAAGCACGCAGGCAGTTACATTTTATTTTAAAATAACCCCTAAAGCTTTGTAAACATAGTTAAGACTTAGATTAGTTTTTCTCTTTCTTCAAATCACTGTTAGAGACTGTATTTTCAATTCCTCAAAAAGTATTTTAAGACGTGCAGAGTAAGGCACGATGGTAGAGGCCCGTGATCCTAGCACTCGGGAAGCTGAGGCATGAGTACCAAGAGTTACAGGCCAGCCTGGGGCTGGATCACAAAATCCGCCTCTAAAACACCAGAGAGACAGCAAGTCAGGGCCCTTGCCACCGTGAGTTTGATGACCTGAGTTTGATCACCAGAACCCACATGTTGGAAGGAGAAACCAACTCTTCCGAGTTGTCCTCACCTCCTCGGCCGTTGTGGTGTGCTCACACCCACATACCCACCACCACACAGTAAAAAAGAACAGCCACAAAAAGAAGACGACAATTCAAGCCCTCAACTCTGCCTCTCTGCCACCCCTACAAGTCACTATGTAGATCAGGCTGGTCTCAAGCTGGAGTCTCCTTACGTGGACTCCCCAGTGTTGGGATCATAGGTCTGTGCCAACATTCCTGCTTAGTTCTTTCTTGGAGTCTAGCTATTGTCATCGAAAACTACAGTAAACTCTTTAAAATGCAGATCAGAGAAATAACTAAAATGTGGTTTCACAGAAGTAAAACCAATCAATACGACACAGGTATCAGTCAATATGAATTTCATAAAATACATTTCCAAGAACTATAAAAAAAGTCTGCAAAAACTCAGACACTAAATAACTGTCTTACAGCCACAGCCAAATCAAACCTGCTGTGTAGTTTCCGAATTCCACACACACCTTAACATTTCAGACCTACGAAATGCGCGCCCTGGATTCACCCACAGTCATGTTAAAGCGTTTTCCAAAGTTTTAGAAACTAATGCACTGCAGAAAAGCTATGAAAAGAGATAAAAATCACGAACAAAGGCTGAAGGAGTTATGCTGTTTGCCAAAGATCAAACTTTTACAGAAATTTAAGCCCAATTTAGTCATTTCCCAACACCAAACAGTAATGTAAATGCAAAAAGTAAACGTTTGAATGCGTTCGCTTTACCGTGCACTCTACTTACTTTGCTTTTTGCCATTTATAAGCTTCATTAAAGACACTCACAAAGAGGTAACCAGTTAAATGGAGTTAGGCTCCGATAAGAAAAAAAAAAAACAGTCGTAAACTCTACCTACGAACTGACATCCCAGAACAGACAGGAGAAGAAGGTACCCTTTACAATCTACCATTATATATACAAGCCTCGGATTGTGAAACAACGCACTTTCAGCTCTGTACAATCACAAACACTCAACTCTACCCACTCCAGAAAAAAATAAATAAATAAAACAATCCACCTGCAGGCCTTATTGGTCCACACAGTTCCGGCCCACATGGTGTCAGTGGGTGTTTCCCTCTACACAGGCCGTCTCACTGGCTGTCGTAGAAACACTGTTTAATAGGCTGTGATTTTGGGGGATTGTCAAACTCCACGCCTCCAGACTTAAGCTTGCCAACCGGCCCAAGATACTGGCGGTTACTCGGCGATTCAAAGGGCAAGCTTGGTAGCCTGAGCTGCAAGCCCCAAAAGATATGCTCGGAGAAGGGAGCAGTGAGCCGGAGCTGTGCCAGCCTGCCCTATCCCTAGTCCTAGACCCAAGATCAGTCGGGTGCATGCACCGGGCCATCAATAAGGGCGAGCAGAGCGTTCGCCTTTTCTCCACTATGACCGAGGGACCAGCTACAGTTAGTGTCAGGCGGATAGGACTAGCCAGGCACCACCGCGGGCCACCACCTTCAGCGCTCAGCGCCTCTAGGGAGGATGCAGTCCCGAGCGGGTACTTGGCCGCCCCCTCAACCGCAGGCACCGCCGTTCCCTCCCGTCGGGACTTACGCGGCCTGTTCTTCCTCCCGGAGTCCATCCTCCTCCGCAGCCGGCATTTCTTGGCCGGAGAGTCATGCTGGGAGAACAGCGGCTGCGGCTGCAGCTCGGACAAGAGCTGGAAGCGTGCGGGCGGCGGGTCGCGGCTGCAGGCGGGCGGCGGCGGGTGGAAGCCGTTGTGCAGCAGCCCGTTCACGG